TTCGAACAGAATCGATCGATCGACTGAATCGAACGCACTCTTGAAATCGAGGAACACTGCTATTGTCGGTCTGCGGTATGCGTGGCGCTGCTTTAGCACCTGCCGCAAAGTGAATATATGGTCTATACAGCCACGTCCTGGGCGGAAACCAGCCTGCTCTTCCCTAATCCGAGATTCCCGTTCCGCAGTGAGGCGACGAACGATAATCAAGGCCAATAATTTTGTCACAATTGGCGTTAGGCTAATACCCCTGTGGTTAGGACAGTCTGTGCGACTGCCCTTCTCGTATATTGCCACTATAATCGATTCGCTCCAATTAGCCGAGACACTTCTTTCCAGACACATTCGAATAAGGTCAGTGCTTTGCAGACGACCTCACCTCCATCCTTAAATAGTGCAGGTGGGAGAGGATCCGGGCCAACGGCACGAAAACGATTAATGGCTGTAATCGCGTTTAGGACCTTGGCCTCCGATGGAGGCTCTAAACTAACCGTCCATCGCTCGTCCTGCACCACCTGAGTAGGAAGAGGTCCGGGCGCAGGAGGCCAGCTGAACTGATCTTGAAAGTGTTCCGCCCAACAAACCATACGGCACTCCTTATTGTGTATCAGTGCACCCGCGCTGTCTCTGATTGTCTCACTGATGTCTGGTTTTCTGGGACCAGTGGTGCGGATAAGCTGGAAGAGCTTACGGTAATTGCCTACTGCCCATGCCTCCTCCATTTCTTGAGCCCGAGTGGTCCACCAGGCTTCTGTCAGCACGCAGGCTCTGCTTTAGTAAACGCCTAATAGCCCGTCTGGTCACATTGTGTTCAGAGCCAGCCGGGAGGTTTCATCTAGATTCCAACAGGTTCACCGACCTCTCGGATATCCAGTGACCGGTGCGGCGACGATTGATAGTGCCACAAGCAGATGCTCCGGCGTCGTGCATGGCGACCGAGATCTTATTCCACTGAAGCTTAGCGTCATTAGGACAAGACTGCGGAAGTTCAGTATGCAGTGCGTCTTGATAGGCTTGCCTGACTGAGGACAGACAATTTCTCAGTTGCGAATCGTAGGGGACGCTTGTTGAGCCTCCCGGTAAAGTTCATGGAGAAACGACAACCTACCAAGGCATGATCAGAGTCGACACAGGTACTCCAGTACGAGCGGCAATCCAGGATGGAACCAGGTCATCTGTAACTTATAGCAATATGATCAATTTGGGTCCATCGCTGGCCAGCTACAGGAGGACGCCAACTGACACTTCGGCGCCCACTATATCTAAAAGCAGTGCTACTAAGAAATAACTGGTGCTCCGTACACAGTTGCAGCAGACGCTGGTCGTTGTCAGTCCGTTCGGAGTTAAGCCCATAACTACCACCCAGCTGACGTTCTGAAGAGCTCAGACGCCCTACTTGTGCGTTCAGATCCTCTGCAAGTATTATAATATCTGAACTAGTAGCACTGCGTAATAGCGCAATCAGTTCGTGACAGAATGTGTCCTTGACAGCATTTGAACTGCAGTCGGTGGAAACATAAGCGGAAACCACGAACAAACAGCGTTTTGTACTACTTCGTGAATCAACCTTAGCTGATGTCGCCAAACGGGCTGCACATAAACGACTATTCACCGGAATTCAATCAACCAACGATGGCACAGCGTTGGAGCTCAGAATGATACCTACACCAGCTTGATCAGTGAGTGCTGCATCGGCGTCTCCGGATGAGTGCAACCAATAACGAGAGAATAAGCAGAGTGCAGTTAATTCAATAACCCCCTTAGGGTCATTGATCCTAGTTTCGGACACACAACACACATCAATACCCAGTGTGTCCAAGGTGCGTGCGAGTGCAGCCTGTTGACCTGTTTGTCTTAGAGTGCGAACATTGAATGTCGCCAAGGAAACGGGATAGTGTGGCCTTATAAGGGACTTTTGCCGATGGGCGTCCGATAGGTGCTGTTGGATGGTGGCTGCAGATGGTTCTACTCCAGTGGCATTTCGGTTGCTGTCAATTAAGCTGGGAATTATAGAAGGAAGGTTAGTAATGGGGGTCGGGAGGGGAGTAAGAGAAAAAGGTGGAAAAAAAGAAGAAAGGCGCCAGCAGTAGCATGTTTACGCTTATCCGCCCTGGTGTATGCAGCAGATAAGACGACCCTTGAAAATCTGCGCAACGGCGGATGCAGGATGAAGTTTATGTTTGAAGAAAATATCATGGTTGTATGTGGGCTGAGATACTGCCAGGGCGCCCAGACCTAGACAGGAGGACGATTAGGGTCCTCAATCAAAGCCTTTGGCTCAAAAGCCTGTCCGCAAGGCAGTGAGGTGGCAAGGATTTAGTTTTACAGAAATGGACGCCATCGCATTTCAAACTCCCACCCTGGATGACCAGGAGACTGAGTTTGTCTGAACTGTCACCATTGAGCAACCTGGTAGGAGTAGCTCTCAAGGTGCCCGGGGGCATCACCCGGTATAGCTCAATGGGTCGATGAGGTATGCAAACCGTCGCATCACGTTATGATCCAGTCTCGTTGCGACGCAGGAGGGCTAAGGATACTGCGAGGGTCTCACTGTCCCTACGCAGCCTCGAACCCGCGCCGTCAGATTACAAGACTATCCTGTTCTCTTTAGGCTATGGGCCGGCGATGTCTAGGAAGCACCACCCGGCTGGTGGCTGCACGGATAATGTACGTGACTTGTAGCCCAAAAGTCTGCAGTTCGAATACATGTACATGCGAGTGACTGCGGTATACCCAGCCCACGCGCGCCTAGTTGTGGTCGTGTGCCAGCGAAGCGTCTGTATGGTTTGCCGGCCTACAGCCTATTACTTATGTTGATTCTCCATTTCTAATGAGGCTAACAGTTGAGTCAGCCGTGCGGTGTTTGGCAGCAGAATCTATGTTGTCGCAATGGAGTGGCCGTTGAGTTCGGAGCAGTTTCGTTAGTTCGGCCGTGTGCAACCCGCTGCTTCGGTGTATATTACCTGCCGATGCCTAAGTGCCCAGTCAGTGACAGAAAAAGAGCATGAAACTCACTGAGAGTCCGAATCAGGTTAGTGCTGGGTTTGTCCTAGACGATGCCTGCGGGATCAGACACATAAGCGGCTAGACACCCTAACGGATAGGGCACAAAAGCAGAGATAGCAAGTCTGCTAATTTAACTATCACTTCGGACTCCTCAGTAATCCAACAAACCAGTTAAGTTCCCGTTCATTAGTCTCGGAGTAGTATTAGTAACACTAGTATATTGGCGACACATCAAAAGAACCGGATCCGCAGCGTCTTCGTGAAGGAGTCAAAGTTGAAAAATCAAACAAATTAACTAACAGTAGGGCCAGAAACCTATGGAAATTCGAAGCCAAACCGCATTTAAGAAACCATCTATCGCGACCCCCTAAGTAGATTATTCACAATATTTGTGCTTAGGGTAACGATATCTCCTAGATATCCACAAGCAACCGCCAGCAGTCACCGGTAACAGAGATAGCAAGGCAGTTGAGGTATCGCTAGTAAGCTAGTATATTGTATGAGGGAAACTGAAGCTGAACGTTAGCCGCTAGTCAATTTGATACAGGGGACGAAAGGAGCTAAGGTGAAGTGGGACTTTCACTCTGACAGACAAGTTGGGTGAATTGGCAGCCCTAGTTACGATTTCAGTTGTAATCTCCCGCCGGTTTACCTGGAAAAGCGCCGACTGAAGGGAAAAGTGAAAGAAAAAGAAAGAACATTGGTAACGGAAATCTGTGGGCAGATAATATTCTGAGGAAAGCTATCCCGACAGAGGAATCTTGGCTGAAATTTTTCACAACCCCAAACTTTGACTCAATGGACTGATAAACAAGGCGAAGTGTGATGGCAGAATTCCATTGGGATCTACTAGGTAAGCTGCAAGTAGCCTTGGAAGCATCAAAACGACACATACAGGTTTTTTCGACCGTAAGATAGGAAGTACATGCAATTGCAATCAGCTTCAGGTGAGTTCCAATAGATTTACACCTTTCGATTAGGAGCCTCAGTGAGCTAGAGCCATTCTTTTACTGTCAGATAACCCGTGCTCTAGGTTAACCGAGTCATGCTAACAAGCGGAGTATTACTGTCCCCCGTGGCTGTGGTGCTGAAGGAAGCTTTCCACTTCTTCCTAATCTCCGATGAAGATTACTGAAGACGAGGTTGTTCGACATCTTCCAACGACGCGCCTAGTGCCACCCGGTTAAGTTAAATAGTGTGTACGCGCGCAAACCGCTGCGTGTCAAGATACAGATATATTCCGATGGCCCAGAGAAAATGACAGGACCCCAACGATACCATTCGTAGCATGCGAAATATAGCATGACAAGGCATCGCCAACCGAGCGACCCAGATTCCGATGATGGTGCTCACATACTTTGAATAACTGGAGATGAACGACTAGTCTGATGTACCCATAGTGTCCGGAGCAGTGCTTCGCATAATGATACCCAGGAAACAAAAGTGTCCTTCAAATACAACCATAAACTACAGCTGATGACAAGATATTTTATTGTCCTGAAATAAACCCAAACCAACGGTCGAAAGAGAATAATCAAAGGCACATTATCGCATGTTTCTTGGTAGAATTGCCATAAACATGCTTATTTCAATCAGAGAAGGTAAAACAAGCATTTAAGTGTAGGTAAAGGGCAAACTGATGACAGTGTGTGGCGCTGATAGCGAAGAATGTTACCTCAAATATATGCCGAAAAATAAGTAAGACAGCAGACGTGAAACTTTCGTGTCAGCGCAGTACTATCGACCTCTAAATGCCGACAGTGATACTGCTAACCAACATAATGCGAATGATCGAGAACACAGACGCATGTGAGAAACAGTCTTTCACAGATACGTACTCTGGGGGATAAAATGCTCACCCACTCGATGTAACGAAGCTGACCGCACAAGTCATTGAATTGTAAAACTGTAAAATCACCGAAAGCAATGCAGCAACCAAGCGCCGCAGCAAAAGCACAGTATGCACCGCGTAGTTACACGACACGCTTCCTTACCCTAGATAGCATTATTTCAGAATCAGGCCCCCGAACCTCAATGTGCATGGGGATGTCAGACGGAATGAAAAACGGGGTAGCGAATGGTAGGTACTCCAATCGATACACACCTGGAAAAAGAACTCACTCGTGAGTGTAATGTTTTTTCATCGGGGTCAGTTACATGGACATGTATGGAGAGATCGAACGACACATTGTAGGAATTACCGAGCGGACGCAACAAGATGTAATCACCTAAGCAAGGAAAACAGCCAAAAAAACCAATACCTTGGACACGCGTGTCGTCCGGAACGTCTTCGATAAAGCAAAGCGGAGTTTCATCATTTAAATGAAAATATAGTCCTGTAGAGACTTGGATGGCACACAAAAACCATATGACAGGCAACGGGTGAAGCATGGATGACGTGTCGAGCGGCGGGTGTGTTCGTAGCTGTCCGGTGGCCGCAGACCTAACAGGGTACTTTAGAGATAGCGATTTTGCCGTTTGGTTGTACCAGAGTTCAAGTTCAAGATCAAGTTAAAGTGGGACTGGAACGATAGGATGAATCTCGTAAGTGTTCCTTCTTGAACGGGTCGTCGATCCAGGAGTTGATAGGGGTGCTCCGACTTCTTGATGGGTCTAAAACGAAAACACCCGAAAAACATCCTGGTCCACCAATTTAATGCCCACGTTCCTTACATTAGCTGTCCCAGCTATGTCAGTTACGTGAAGTAAGTAAGAGAGGAAGAAGAATCTAAGGTAAGAGAGTAGGGGAAATCAATTAAAAGAAGAGAATAATACCAATGGCGAGGAAAAGTGAAGAAAATAGAAAAGAAATATGAAGATGGGAATTAGTCAAGAGAAAGGAAAGGTTTCGTGTTGCCACCCAAGAGCATCTAGTTGACGCTCAAACCCTTTAACCGTAGCTTCCTTGACAACATGTTCTGGAAGCAGGTTCCAGCGCTCGATGACTCGACGCGATAAGCGTGTCTCCGCTCTAACTCGATCGGACCGCGGTTTGTCCAGCTTCATACAATGCCCGCGGAGACCAGATAATCTAGCAGGACTAAATAACATGGACAAATCAGGGCCAATCTTCCCAGTCAAAATACGGTAGGTTAGGATTAAGTCCCCTCTAATTCTTCGATAGTGCATCGACTGCATCCCCAAACTAAGTAGGCGTTCGGGGTACGTTTGCCCTCGTAATCCCTTGACCAACCTAGTACTGACACGCAATACCCTTTCTAGTGCCATATTGTCCCGGACAAGGCATGGAGGACAGGTCTGGACGCAATATTCTAGGTGGGGTCGCACAAACGCTGAGAAGAGCTTCACAAACACATCAGCGGTGAGGGTCCCAAAAGAACGACGGATAAACTACAACATCCGGAACCCTCTACTAGCCGCCTTCTTCCAGTTGTCTCCAGAGTGTAAAGTGGAACAGTGGACGACACCTAGATTAACCTGATGAGTCACGTGAGGAATTACACTCCCATTGAGCACATAACTTGTGGAGGAATCAGACGCTCCGATACGCAGCACTGAACACTTTGCCCGGTTTATAGGCAGCGACCATAAGACAGACCATTCCCAGAGTCTATCCAGAGCCCGTTGAAGAGCCATAGGATCTCTGGACTCTGGACTCTGTCACTCTAGTCGGCTTTAACCTTAAGACCGTGTCTTAGTGCGCTAAAACCTATCAACCGCTGGACACTGAATCAAGTGCGCATAGATACGGTACCAAATTGCTGAACATCCGGTAATTGGTTCATTAGTTCATTGGTTGGTAAACTGCAGAAGGCCGTCTCTTTGTCAGCTCCGACACTTCCCGCTAGTGGCGACGGTTGCTTGGATCCTACCAGAACACGGATCCGCAGAAGACCGCTGCGGTTGTATTGGGGGCAGCGAAGTTCCTGCGCACTCAGTGAGTGGGAATTCAAGTCATTTGAAACTTTCCTCTGTCTCTGCATATAGGACAACCTCTGGCAAACTGTTGCAGTCATTCACGTTCGGTTTCCTCCTCCTTGGCGTTAAATCGAAGGTTTGTGCATGCTGTTTCTTTGAGGTAATACTTTCAAAGTACAGTTTCGGAACAGTGTTTAGAAGTGTAAGAAATTGACCTTTGTCAAATTTCGCTTGAGCTAATTGCCTTTCGATCCTCGTTTTCTCCGGATTAAGTCGTACCCGTTATCGGGTAGTTGCCAAAAACCGTCCATCTTTTTCGTGTTCTACCTCTGTCTAATTTCCTGGTGTTTTGTGTTTGGTAATCCGTGTTGCACCTTGTGGTAACCGTAACTGGTTCTGTTGACTGTCCTGCAGGTAAAAGCTTGTCGGTTTTACATTGTGATACCCGTTTCACACTCTTTGAAAGCGTCATGTCAGATTCACTGAATACCAACCCTAATGTGTCTTCGGCTGCGTTGAGCACCGATTCTAATGCTGTATGCAGCAGCGTGAGCTACTCACAGCCCGTAACGGACGTGTCTGATGGGCTGCAGTGCTATGTATGCAACTGCTGGTACCATGAGACCTATGCCGAGTTGAGCGCTTATCAGTACGCAACGCTTTCGACTAGCGATAGCATGTCGTTCAATTGTCTTTCATTACGTCGCCAGCGTTCTACGCGGCTAATGCTAACAGAGAAGGCATCGTGCAACGTCGGCCTGGGTAGCCAGCAGTTGTTTTCTTTCCTCACATCACTTCCTCGCAACGTGGATTTACCGGGGAGGAACATGGGAGTATTTATTGAGGTCTGTTCCTTGGAGGAAGACACGCCACTAACCTTAATTGCTGTGGCATAGAAGCCGACTGAGGTGCTGGCTACCGTATCGTGTGTACCAACTGTCCAGAATGCCTCTAAAGAGGCCTCTGATGTCGTACTGGAAGCCGGTTAAGGCGGGACCGAACTTATAGTCTCTGGGCCCCATAAAAGCAAGAGGAAATGGTCTAAGAAAGTCCGTAAGGCTCATTCAACGCCAAAAGGTACTGAAACAATTAAGATATTGGAGGTAGAGCACACAGCCCCAATTCCAGACGCCCCAATTACATTGGCGCAGAAGCATGCTGTGTCGACTTCGGTCACACCCACAAATTCGGAAAAGACTATACCGTTGAGGGAGTTGGAGGTAGAACACAAAGCTTCAACCCTAATTACTCCAAATCCCTTGGCGAAGAGAGGCGCTGTGTCACCTGCCAAACCGGTCGAAAATGGGTTCGAATAGAAGACTCGTGGAGTGAATACGCCTCGACGAATTAATGCTTTTGTGCTAGTAACGTTATCTTTCCTAACCTTGATGAATCCGAGGCAGCCCTGTCCAGGGCTGCCCTAATACGCTTTGCATTCAAACTCAAGGGTAGTAATATCAGTGTTCAGCCGGACCTTCCACTAGTAGGTCGACTGAAGTTAAAGGGAGTCAGCAAAATCCTTAAGCGCAGGCTGGCGGCTGTTGAGCAAGGTCTTCTTTTTGTGGGTATTCAGCTGGTCAGCCGGAAGTGAAATGCTGCTCCACCAGAACCCTTCCTGGTTGTGTACGACCTAGGTCTGTTCGTGCCGAGTTCCTTCGGTAGTGCTTTATAATGTGAGTAGCCCAAGGAGCAAGGTACACGAGGTGTGTCTACTTGTAGACAAACCTTTTCCCGACATACTTGCTAGCACCGAAAAGTGGTTGTCCGGGGCTATCACAGACAGTGAAGTACGTTTATCTGGCCGCACACTGCTTAGAGGTGATCCTTCCATTGGCCAACAAGTTGTGGGCGTCGCTCTTTTTGCGGGTTGTACAGTGTTAGGCTGCTGACTTGTGTGAACAAGTAGTCGGAACAAACTGTTGAAGCCCTGTCGCTTATTGTATGAGCTCCTTTTGCTCAGTTTAAAGTTGTAGTGGTATGTCGAAGTCCTGGAAGTATCTCCAGGGAGGTTATTAAATTTTTTCGTACTCAAACTGCTAACAGGTGTCAAATCTTGGGTGACTTCAACCTCCCTGAAGTCTGCTGGGCTGAGGTAGCTTGTAATTGGTCAGTGGACACTTCGTGGTCGGATCTCCACCAGCTAACTTTGCTACTGACTTTGCATCAGTTCGTGGACCGCCGATAAGATATATGCGCAACCAAATTCCGTCTAACTTAAAGCTCAGATTGGCGGTCACATCATTTGGTAAGCGATATTAACTGCGACTGTCCTCTAGGAGCCAGTGAACGGGCTGCATAACCTTTCTCCTAGCACGTCGTTATGCGTCGTCCATCTTACTCGCGTCAACTCCTCCTGGCAATAGCTAGTCATTGTCGGCTACTTGTAGCTTGCAAGGAGCCAGTCCTTGACTCTCCAGCCTTCATTTTCTTCTGCCGTCTGTCTCTCTAAGCTTCGCTCGCATGTTGACTTCCTCATTGAAACTGTAGGTATTCAATAGTGGTCAAACTTCTTAATGACATTACTACACCAGCCACTGATACCTTCTCTTCTAGCGCCCCCATCTATGCTTAGCAACAGCTAGTCGCCATAGCTTGAATTTAACTCTGTGGATATCCGGAGCTCGGTAGGAGTCGCTCCATTTTTTACAATGTTCATTCTCTTGGATTGTTTGCGTCACAGCTCAGATGGTTTGTTGACCTATTATGTGCCACCGTAAGATCCACTAGTAACTGTAGGCTTAATCCGAACTCTATTGCTGGTCACTCTTCTCTCTCCTACCACGCCGTTAGGTGTCGTTCATCCTACTCGTATCAACTCCTCTTGACAGCAGCTGGTCAATGTTGGCTCCATGTATCTTGTAAGGAGCCACTCCCTGACTCTCCAACCTTCATTTTCTTCTGCCGTCTGTCTCTCTATGCTTCGCCTGCATGTTGATTTCTTCATCGAAACTCTAGGTATCCAGTAGTGATCAAACGTCTTAATGATTTGGATACACCAGCCACTGACACATTCTCTTCTAGCTCCATTATCTCTGCTTAGCAGCACCTAGTCGCCATAGATTAAATTACACTTCTCGGATATCCGGAGCTCCGTTGGTGTCGCTCCTTTCCTACAATGTTCATTCTCTTGGATTGTTTGCGTCACAGCTCAGATGGTTTTTTGACCTACTATGTACCAACGTAGAATATACTAGTAACTGAAGACTTAATCCGAACTCCATTGTGGCCATTACTCTTTCTCCTAGCGCGCCGTTATCCGTCGTTCATCTTACTCGCATCAACTCTTCTTGATAGCAGCTAGTCGTTGTTGGCTCCATGTAGCTTGCAAGGAGCCATCCCTGACTCTCCAGCCTTCATTTTTCTCGGACGTCTGCCTCTCTAATCTTCGCTCGCATGTTGATTTCCTCATCGATACTGTAGGTATCCAGTAGTGATCAAACGTCTTGATGATATGGCTACAACAGCCACTGATACATTCTTTCTAGAGTTGCTGTCTATGCTTAGCAGCAGCTAGTCGCCGAAGCTTCCACTTAACTTTGCGGTTATCTGGAGCTCGCTCCCTTCTTACAATGTTCATTCTCTCAGATGTTTTGCGTCACAGCTCAGCTGGTCTGCTGACCTATCACTTACCTCCACTGGTCTGTTGGTACACTCAGCGACCTTGTAGGCATACACTATTGACCAAGTGTCTGATTGGAATGGCTACACCGGGCCACTGAGTCTCTCCTAGCGCCACCATCTGTCGGTCGTCGTAAATTCGACATCTCTGTTCAGAAGTAGTTATTGGCCATTGGCACCATGCATATTCGATGATCCAGTGCTTGTTAGGAGGCACTCCGTATCTCAATAAACCTTTATT